CGGGATCCCGGAAACCCGTGACAGGAAATTATCGTTTCCACAGTGGGCAATGATTGCTTACTTAAATAAGGAAACTGACCATGCAGCGCGGCTTTATTAAATGAAGTTTTTCAATCTGCAGTTAATATTACTCTTTTCTCCTTTTAATACATAAAAGGCAACAACCCAAGGCTGCCAGAACTCTTTCTCCAGCATTTTGTTTTCTTTTACTCTTGTTTTCCATCCCTCTGTCACACTCCCAGAGGTATCTGTGGAGTGTAGGTCACCATTTGTAAATCAACAGGTTCTCAATTCCAACAGCAGTGTTCAGTATTACATAGAATCAGTTTTCCCACAGAACAGAGGAATACCTGTTTCTGAAGCCTATTTTTGTTCACCAGGTAAAACTCTATTACTATGCTTCCTGTTCTTTTATCTGTCAGCAATATCCTCTCCCCATTAAAAAAGGAAAGACCTACTTTTGAAATTGTATTGAAAACAGCTGTATTTAACGACTTAAATTATAATTTCTCTACAGATAACCTTAAAACCACATCGTTCAGAGGCAGTGTGTAAAAAGGATCATATTTTCCCTCTTTTCCAGCCAATTACTTCAGTCAGTAGGAGAGATGGTGTGGGTTTTGGACCATGCATATTGTGCATGTCAGATGATACTCTGGCTCCTCAGTATGTACATTCCAGGTGCTTCTGACTTGGACGGAGTCTGTCCAGACTTGAATCAAATACCACAAACACTGTTTTCCTCCTTTCTACAGGACAGTGGTCTTTGTTGGTGTGAATAAATAGAACTAGCAATGTATCCTAAAGAATTTTGGTGTTCTCTTGATGCAAACTATGATTTCAGTGATTTTGCCTTCCCATGGAAGAAGGGATTAAAGTTAGAATTAAAATGTCCATAAATAATGTGTTTGAAAAAGTGCTACATTTTATGGCTAAGTACATTGCAATAACATTTCTGTACCTATAGAAAAATAATTCCATATTCTGAAAAATTCCTGTATCTCGGGAAAACAATACAGAAATATGATGAAGATAGGGAAAATCTGGAATAAAATCAGAATTAAAAAACATAAATAAGGAAGACCCATGAGAAAGTATGCTGCTTTTTGACTTCTGTAGCAAACTGGCAAGCCTTTTAAACTGCTCTGAGTATACAGGATGAACAGAGTATTTGTAAAGTCATTTTTGACAAATACAAAAATATGATTTCAAATTCTCAAATAGCTTGCCATTAGAAGACTAAACTGCATTGCAGTTAAAAATAGTTCATAGGCTTCTTGTACTCATTTTGTAACAATGAAATGGTTTTTTAAGTAACGAACATCTTTACTTGGTACAGATGTAAGTGTTTGAGAGTTTAGTTGATTTTTTACAATTTACTTATTTATTGTTTTGGTTTTTTGTTTTTCTCTCTTTTTAGATGAATAACTTGGTGACACCAGTTGTAGGGTTTATAGAGGATACATTCCAGGCCACTCCTAATCCAGATGAAGTGAGTGAGGTTTTTGTTGTGCCTTTGGAATACTTTGTCAAGCCTTTAAATTACAAGACCTTCACTTATAAAACCTCCTCAGGTTACTCAACTCGCATACACTGCTTTATATATGATGACCAGGAACACAGAAAGTCATTCAAGATATGGGGCCTGACTGCCCACTTTGCTGTATTTCTTGCTCTTATAATTTCTGGAGAAAGACCTACCTTTGAAGTGGATTATGATATTGACAACTTAATTTCATCCTCTGAGAATTACTTCACTAATTTGTATGCATCTGTAAATGAAAGAAAGAAGAGTAATCTGTGACAGCTTGGTCTGGCCATTAATTTATTCTGAAAGAGGAAAAAGGAGCTTGGTTTATTTCCTTTGTACTTACTGTTTGAGACCTACACTTGAATTTCTTTGGAATTGGGAACTTTAAGTTGACAATCCCTAACTAGATTAATACAATTTTTAATCTCTTTGAAGAGCTGCGAGAAGCACACAATATTTTTTGTGAAACAGACTTTCAAAAGGTCTGTTTCAGGTCCTTCTCAGTTTCAGTGCCTTTGTTCTGCGTGTTTCTGTGCTTTGCTTTGTCTATAATGAGATAATACTATTTGATGGAATTTGTGTCTGAGTTAACCTATTAAAACTTTTGGAGATCTGCCTCTTACATGTGCCATACGTGGAGAACATGATCCATACAGTCTTGTCTGGTATCTTTGAGCACTTACAGAATGCACAATAAAAATACAGAAGGTTTCAGGTGCTTTCACAATCTTGTTTTGTTTTGCTTGGGCTTGTGGAGGGAAGAGGGCAGGTCAGTATGTCCAATGAATTTTGGTTAATTTAACATTTCTCACGAGGCAATTCCATAGGCTATGGAAAACTTAGGATACAGGCAACGGGACTGAAGTTTGTCCCTCACTGTCTTGTTATCAAATCTCACTCAGCTGCTGGCAGGAGTCTTCTCCAGGACAGAAGAGTGGAGGTGAGGATTCACGAGGACAACCCACCAAACACAGAGCAAGGGAGAGGGGTTCAGAGCCCACAGAACAAGGCCCTGGGGATCGTAAGAGACCGACAGCACACAGGAAGAGCCTCTGAACAATGGGGATCGTAAGAGACCGACAGCACACAGGAAGAGCCTCTGAACAATGGGGAGACCGACAGCACACAGGAAGAGCCTCTGAGCATTCAGCGGCTGAGTGCTCCGTGCCAAGTACACTGTAACCTGAACACAAGGTGGAGCCGTATAAATTGGAGTCAAGAAGTTGTTAGGAAAATTAAGTAGTTTATTTGTAAAAGCAAATACCTTTTCCATTCATCAGTCAATGGAAACCTTCCCATTGTTTCTTTTATCTCCCAGTGCTAGTTTTATCTACCAGCAGAGCCACAGCTTCTTTGTTGTGGTGCAGGGTTCATTTGGTTTGTTCTGTTTCCCCCTAAAGTTATAATGGTTCGGTTCTGGGATCCCCCTTCCCCCTCCCCTGGAACCTCTCTCTCTGAGAGTGTCAATTTGTTGGCTCCCCCCCTGTTTCCCTGGTTACCTGCTGTCAATCCCTCCCCAAGTTCCTGTCCATCACCCACTGTCTCCTTCCCACATTCCAGAAAGTTCTCCCCTCTTCGGTGGGTGATTGGATCGGGAACAAGGGTCCCTCCCTGTCACATTCCCTATTGGCTAGCCGGCATGTTTCTCACGAGTTTGTTCTCTCCCCAGTTCTCCCTCATTGGTTAATGTGTTGTGTTTCCGCCCCCTTTATAAGCTCCTGTATTCCTGTCTCGTTGTCCCTGCTCGGCTGGTTGCCCTGGAGTTAATAAACGGCTCTGGATTTTACCCCCGAGGAGGGTCCCTCCTTTCTTTCTTCCACTTTGCCTGCCTGCTGCCCACTGCTGCCCCTTGCTGAGGCGCTCCCGGGACGCCCCCGGCCCATCTGGGAAGTGCCCCCCCCTCGGCTGTCGGCTGCGGTGCCTTCAGCTCAGCCGGTGCGACCTCCTCCCCTGCCCGGGGGAGCAGAGACTCGGACAGCAGCGTGGCACTTCTTTGTAAAGACAAATCTGCTCTTCCTCTCAAAATCAATTACCATGACAGCACAATCTGGCAAGTATGTGATCACAGCTAGAAATCCCCATTCCGTGGCACAGCTGGCACGTGTGCAGTTAGTTGAGAGTCAAGAGAGCTGCAAAAATGGGTGCTGGTGGGGATAATCCTCTTGTTGAACTCTGAAGCAAAGTGGCACAAGTTAGAGCAGTGATTTTCACTGTAGAATACTCCCTTTGCCTTTAGGAGTGCACCTCACAGAGGTTGCTCTTCTGGAGTATGAAATCCCCTTATTGATGGGAAAGTGTGCAGAAGGTAGAGGAAGAGCATCGAGCCAAGCCTTGCAGGGTTCCCTTGCACCTGGCAAGGAGCAAGTGCTGAAAGGCTCGTGCCACCCTCCCCTGTGTCACTTGAGCTCCTTGCATGTCCCAGCAGCTTCCTGGTGCCTCTGACTGCAGATCAGCTAAGATCCAGTCACGTCTGGAGATAAAATCCTGAAGTAGCTCCATAGGTGCTTTCTTGCTTTGTCCCTGTGAGTTCTGCAATTCCAAAGACTGTAAACCTGCAGGTTTCTAGCCAAAGCTGCTCATATTATAGCTCTTTAGACCTGCTTATAATTTATACTGCACTGACAATATTGAGATACTGTATTAGCAATAAGTTTAGTCATAATGATGCACATAATCAGTGTCATACATCTCACACCTGACCAAGAGTGTTCTCTCTGAGTCTGCCACTATAATCCCCAGTGTTATCTGGGCCAAAGTCCCAGACTGTCATCCATGGTCATCATAAAGGTGTCACTGGCTTCATGATATGGTTTAGAGTATTAGCTACCCAATTCCAGTGGCAAGGGACATGGTGGGACTTCAAGTAGAAGTTAAGGCTGGCTATAAAAGCTCCAGGTGCTTCACAAAGGTGGAAGGAATCCAGTTCTCTGTCCTGAAAAGCTTCATCTGGGAGAAGAGGAAAGCTGCGCAGAATCTCAGGAAATTTGCACCAGGCCTGGGCAGAGTTCAGCATTCACAGATTTCTTCCCATAAGACATAATTTTCCCTGCTTTATTAGTAAACAAGGTGTACCAATGCCAATCCTCGAGGTTCTTATGGCTCAGTAGGTTCTTCAAAGAGCTTCCCAATTTCCCTTGAACTTCTCAAGGTTTGTCTTCTAAAGAATATTTGGATGATTCAGTTTCTTTATCCTCAGCTGAAATCTCAAGGTTGGCAGTATCACTGGAGAAGAAGCCAGATCATTCCCATCATACAACTATAGAAACAGGTTTTTTTTCTTTAAACAGTATTTTTTTCCGCTTAACCTCTGTATTCCAGAACAGGAGAGAAATGCTTTGTGGAATCATACATGAATAAAAAAGTAAATGAGGGCTACCATGAATAAGGCCATTTGGAGGCCACCAAGTTCTCCAGTTCAGTTGCCCTTCTTGCCATTTACACAGCTAATGAAGAAGAGTTTGCTGGTGCTTGGCCCTTCACTGACTCTGAATATTCTGCTCACTTTATAGGTATAAACACTTGAATACAAATATCAGACACAAAAGAGAACACACCACAAGCTCTCCAAATTCAGCAAGTGGCCCAGAAATCTGATTATGGCAGTATCTATCTGAGAGCTCAAAGTATGGAGGATGGGCTGGCCACAAGCAAAGGCAACTTTGGGAGGGAGCAAAGCTGCTACTCCTCCAATTTCCCAAGTGGGAATAACCCTCCCACCTCTTCCACCAGACCCAGGATGCTGCTGGGGGAGCCCCTCAGCTGAAGAGGCCCTGGGGAGATGTTGGACACTAGCCTGTTGTTCAGCTATGACAATCAGTGACTCCCATCAGTGACTCCATGACGGCAGATGGCAACAGATGATTCATCACTTTCCTTTTCTTCCTCTTGCAGTATCTCTTCCTCTACTGAAGGAAAAAAAATTATCCATGAATAGAAGGCGAGGCACATTGTCAATCCCATTTAAGCTGAGAAGTCCCACTTCCCCAACACTGGCCTCTCCCAGAAACAATGGATGCTGCTGCTCCTCTCTGACTCCTCACGTTCATTCTCACTTAGCTTCCTCCTCACAGGGCATCATCTCATCCCCTGCAATGTCATGCACATCCAACCCTGCCAAAAGCCCTGCCAGCCTCTCTTACAGCTTTCCCAAGCTTTTCTGCCTACCCATCATCTTTCCAGGCCTTTCCAAGATCCCAGGAAAAGGATCCTGGAAAAAGCCTAAATGGACTCAACTGCTCAAAACTCAGGAAGAAACCAGAGAGGCCAAAGTGTTGGTCTGGCACCCTGCAACTTCCAGACTTGTGGAGATGGGCGTGAGCTGCCCAAAGTGCGATGGTAGGGGAAAAAAAACAGAGCATCTTCCTGGGAGATGGCAGACAGTGCTCACTTGTCCACATCCTGGGTAGGCACTTGGTAACTCCAGGGAAGATCGTCTCTCCTTTCAGGATGATTTCTGCCGGTTCCAGATGAGCCACTTGGATCTGGAAAGTCCTGCGGAACACTCCTGGCTCTTCTGGCTGATAATAGACTTTCAGCACTCGCTTCTTGCGAGGTGCAATGGAACCCTGCAGGGACAGGAGAGGAGGGAGGGAATGCATCAAAGGTTTGATGTGGGATGGCTCAGGGGACAGACTGAGAAGACAGGTTCTCATCTAGAAGAAAACATCAGACCACATCACTTTCTACCTTCCTTGTGCCCAAAAGCTTGCACCTCCAACCCTGGGGTGCAGCGTGTCCTCCTGAGCTCTCGCAAGGCTGCAGCCCCAGCACAGCTGACGTGAGCACAGCTCTGCTGCTCGTGGCATGTGCCCTCTGCCAGCAAGGCTCATGCCCAAAAAATAAAAGCTCTTTTGCCAGGCTCTGTGCAAAAGGAGTGCCTGCACTCTCAGGAGGGCCAGTAGCCCCTGTCACAGCACATCAGCAATTCCAGGCTCATGTCCAAGGGCCTGACCCCTTATTAATGATCCCAGCAAAAACACACTCTGCCTCTGCAGTTACACCATCCTGACTCATGGTTTCTTGCACACATACATCTCTGGAAATGCAGGAGCAGAGACTTTGATGAGATCTGGGGATGAGAGTGATAGCAGGAAGGGCCATCCTCCTCTTTGGGCTTTCAGAAATGCTGTCCAAGCACCAGGCTGGGCTCACAGCAGCGGGGCTGAAGGGAAACACAGCTCTGGGTGACAGACACAGCTGCAGCTTTCCTTGGCTCCCCCCTGCACACCAGGCTGGGCCCTCGGCTCCCCATTCCTGTTCCCAGTGCAGGGAGAAACAGCTGAGCAGGACAACCCCTGCCCCTGGGTCTCCTGAGTTACTCCAGCACACAACACTGCCAAAGGCAGCCTGGCCAAGCTGCCAGCGCCAGGATGCTGCTCCAGCAGCTGAGTGCAGGGCCACGCAGAGCTGTGTCTGCAGAGGCTCGCAGGAGGAGGCCAGCAGCGCGTCACCCTTGCACAGGACATACGGGAAATAATGAGAAAGCCATTTGGCTTCCCCTTGGTTGCCGTGTGTGTTTTGGATTGTAATTGGGTCCTAGTAGTCAGTTTTATAAACCCCACCCCCACCCATTTTGTATTCTTATGGCATATTTTATTACCAGTGGGCTGTTTCTTTCCCCCTGTGTTGTTGGTTTTGCCCTAGTTGTCCATCTCCCCAAAGACCTGCCCTTTTGTTCCCTGTTCCGCCTCCTCCCATGCCTGTCCCTTTCTCTACAAACTTCCCTATGAATTTTGTATCCTTCGAGGCCCCATTGGTTTGTTTCAGATATTCTCCTCCTCTGTAATCCCCTATTGGTTTAGACATTGTATTTGCCACTTGTGTCCCACCCCCAATTTCTCCCAGTTGGCTAAAGAGTGTATCCTCCCCTGGGACCTGCACCATGTATAAGTTGATGTATGCCTTTGTTGAGTGTCTTTCTGTCCCTGACCCTCTGGGGAATAAACACCTTTAGAAAACATACAGAAGACCTCTCCCTGTTCCTTATCCCTGCCCTGGACGCAGTCCACCGCAGGAGGAGGCCAGCAGCGCGTCACCCTTGCACAGGACATACGGGAAATAATGAGAAAGCCATTTGGCTTCCCCTTGGTTGCCGTGTGTGTTTTGGATTGTAATTGGGTCCTAGTAGTCAGTTTTATAAACCCCACCCCCACCCATTTTGTATTCTTATGGCATATTTTATTACCAGTGGGCTGTTTCTTTCCCCCTGTGTTGTTGGTTTTGCCCTAGTTGTCCATCTCCCCAAAGGCCTGCCCTTTTGTTCCCTGTTCCTCCTCCCACTGAATGTCAATCCCTTCCCATGCCTGTTCCTTTCTCTAGAAACTTCCCTCTGAATTTTGTATCCTTCGAGGCCCCATTGGTTTGTTTCAGTTATTCTCCTCCTCTGTAATCCCCTATTGGTTTAGACATTGTATTTCCCACTTGTGTCCCACCCCCAATTTCTCCCAGTTGGCTAAAGAGTGTATCCTCCCCTGGGACCTGCACCATGTATAAGTTGATGTATGCCTTTGTTGAGTGTCTTTCTGTCCCTGACCCTCTGGGGAATAAACACCTTTAGAAAACATACAGAAGACCTCTCCCTGTTCCTTATCCCTGCCCTGGACGCAGTCCACCCGTGCCTAGGGCAGCTGTGCCCTACAGCCACACCCCGGATTCCACAGCTATCTGGGGGTGTCAGGAGCCAGTCGGGCTGAAGAAATCTGGCACCGCAGCACCCCTTCCCATTCCAAAGGGGGCCAAAGGCAGGAATACTGCTGAAGCTCCAGGACATCCAGGCAGGACTGAGAAGCTAGGATGGGGGGATGCTGCAGCCTCTTCTCCATGCTCTTTCAGCCCTGCTCCTCTCTGCTCCCCTCACTGCCCCACAAAGCTCCTGCAGAGAAGCAAAGCTGGAGGAGGGAGGGACCAGCACAGAGGCTGTGCAATTTCTGGTAAAGGAGCTTCAAGCCCAAGCAAGGAATATGTAAAAACTGCTTAGTGCTGGCAGCAGGGAGGCAGGGACAAGGAAGAAAGTGATCTTCAGAAGAGCCAGCAGTACCCAACTCCAGTATCAGCACAGCCAGACAGCTGAGCACTTCTGTCTCTGGTAAGTGGCACCTGCCAGCCAAGGCCACGGGGGAGTCTGTTAGGTGAGTACTTGCTTGATCTCTCTGTCCCCAGCAGTAATTGCTTACAGCCCTATCCCTCAGGGCTGGGTTTGGGCTTTCCCCCCCACTTTTTCCCCTCTCTTTTCCCCCTTGTTTCTTTTAATTCTCTCCTGGGCTGCCTGACACAGGGCCAGAGCCAATGACTTGTGCTACTCACTCTGCGGGGCACGACCACGGGCACCCCGGGCAGAGGCTTTGCTGCAGTGCCAGTGCTGGAGTTTGGCACCACGTAGGTGAATTTCATAACGCCGGTGTTCCGCAGGGTGATCTCTGCTTTGAGGACTTTGTTGAACATCTGGAGAGAGGAGGACAGAGGAGTGAGAAGTCACAGAAGATACAGGCCTGATGCTGGGCAATCTTCCTCTTTTATGGCGTTGAAAGCACACAGCCACAATGCAACCACACAACTACAGAGAGAGAGGTGGTCAAGGCCAGTAATAAATGAACCAGGGGATCAGGTCCGCTGCACTCTGAGGGATCACCAACAGCCAGGAGAAACAGAGGAGGTGGCAGTGGTATGTGTGAGATGAAGTCAAAAGGTTATGAAGTCAAAGAATGAAAGTTGTTGGTTCTACAACAATGTTGTTGTTTGTGGTTTGGATTTTGTTCAGGTTGGTTTGTTGGTGCTGCTGTGAGCTGGGAGAGCAATGGGGTTGAAGACCTGACCCAAAGGAAGGAGGATGAGAGGGGAGGGGACAGAAAAGCTGGCAGTCAGAGAGAATGGAAGCTCCTGAGTACCCCTCCAAGGGGAAAGAGGACAGGGACTGTCCCAGCCAGGTACAAAGGGAAAAGAAAGATGGCCTTTTTGTCGTCACCCTTGCACAGGACATACGGGAAATAATGAGAAAGCCATTTGGCTTCCCCTTGGTTGCCGTGTGTGTTTTGGATTGTAATTGGGTCCTAGTAGTCAGTTTTATAAACCCCACCCCCACCCATTTTGTATTCTTATGGCATATTTTATTACCAGTGGGCTGTTTCTTTCCCCCTGTGTTGTTGGTTTTGCCCTAGTTGTCCATCTCCCCAAAGACCTGCCCTTTTGTTCCCTGTTCCTCCTCCCACTGAATGTCAATCCCTTCCCATGCCTGTTCCTTTCTCTAGAAACTTCCCTCTGAATTTTGTATCCTTCGAGGCCCCATTGGTTTGTTTCAGTTATTCTCCTCCTCTGTAATCCCCTATTGGTTTAGACATTGTATTTCCCACTTGTGTCCCACCCCCAATTTCTCCCAGTTGGCTAAAGAGTGTATCCTCCCCTGGGACCTGCACCATGTATAAGTTGATGTATGCCTTTGTTGAGTGTCTTTCTGTCCCTGACCCTCTGGGGAATAAACACCTTTAGAAAACATACAGAAGACCTCTCCCTGTTCCTTATCCCTGCCCTGGACGCAGTCCACCCGTGCCTAGGGCAGCTGTGCCCTACAGCCACACCCCGGATTCCACAGCTATCTGGGGGTGTCAGGAGCCAGTCGGGCTGAAGAAATCTGGCACCGCAGCACCCCTTCCCATTCCAAAGGGGGCCAAAGGCAGGAATACTGCTGAAGCTCCAGGACATCCAGGCAGGACTGAGAAGCTAGGATGGGGGGATGCTGCAGCCTCTTCTCCATGCTCTTTCAGCCCTGCTCCTCTCTGCTCCCCTCACTGCCCCACAAAGCTCCTGCAGAGAAGCAAAGCTGGAGGAGGGAGGGACCAGCACAGAGGCTGTGCAATTTCTGGTAAAGGAGCTTCAAGCCCAAGCAAGGAATATGTAAAAACTGCTTAGTGCTGGCAGCAGGGAGGCAGGGACAAGGAAGAAAGTGATCTTCAGAAGAGCCAGCAGTACCCAACTCCAGTATCAGCACAGCCAGACAGCTGAGCACTTCTGTCTCTGGTAAGTGGCACCTGCCAGCCAAGGCCACGGGGGAGTCTGTTAGGTGAGTACTTGCTTGATCTCTCTGTCCCCAGCAGTAATTGCTTACAGCCCTATCCCTCAGGGCTGGGTTTGGGCTTTCCCCCCCACTTTTTCCCCTCTCTTTTCCCCCTTGTTTCTTTTAATTCTCTCCTGGGCTGCCTGACACAGGGCCAGAGCCAATGACTTGTGCTACTCACTCTGCGGGGCACGACCACGGGCACCCCGGGCAGAGGCTTTGCTGCAGTGCCAGTGCTGGAGTTTGGCACCACGTAGGTGAATTTCATAACGCCGGTGTTCCGCAGGGTGATCTCTGCTTTGAGGACTTTGTTGAACATCTGGAGAGAGGAGGACAGAGGAGTGAGAAGTCACAGATACAGGCCTGATGCTGGGCAATCTTCCTCTTTTATGGCGTTGAAAGCACACAGCCACAATGCAACCACACAACTACAGAGAGAGAGGTGGTCAAGGCCAGTAATAAATGAACCAGGGGATCAGGTCCTCTGCACTCTGAGGGGTCACCAACAGCCAGGAGAAACGGAGGAGGTGGCAGTGGTATGTGTGAGATGAAGTCAAAAGGTTATGAAGTTCAAGAATGAAAGTTGTTGGTTCTACAACAATTTTGTTGTTTGTGGTTTGGATTTTGTTCAGGTTATTTTGTCTTCTCTTATGTGAGCTGGCAGAGGGATGGGGTTGAAGACCTGACCCAAAGGAAGGAGGCTGAGAGGGGAGGGGACAGAAAAGCTGGCAGTCAGAGAGAATGGAAGTTCCCAAGTACCCCTCCAAGGGGAAAGGGGACAGGGACTGTCCCAGCTGGCTACAAAAGGGACAGAAAGATTGACTTTTTGTTAGAGGATGTGTTTGCTCGTCTCTGTGGGCAGGGAAACACACGCCTGGCTCAGCTGGAGCGTTACTAATGAACAGTTTTCTTTTGCTTTGACAATTTTGTCCCCATTTAACTGTACCTAAAAGTTAGTGCATTTCTGAGAGGCATTCCAGAAGAAAAGGCACCTGCACGCAAATATTGGCAAGAAACATACAGCTGACAAGAGAGACACACAGGACAACACAGGCAGTGCCAGCAACTGGAAGTATCTGTGGACTTTAAACTGAAAAGAAGTGGGGATTATTCTTGGACATTGTTTTCAGCTACTGAAGTGACTGAAAGCCCAGCTTCCTCCCTGGATTATTTTGTGGATCAAACAAGAGCATTAGATAAAAGCATCTCCTTGGAGCTCAAGCTTTAGGAGCGGATCAGTGGAGGGATATCTCAGGGACATGTCCCTCCAGACATCTTCACTGGGACCCTTATGTTCCCCAGGAGGCAGTGTTAGGTGCATGAGGAGGACAGTGCCATGTCCCTGGGCTGGGGGGAAGGGAGAGCAGGGGTGGAGATGGCCATTTTAAACCAGCTTGGATGCTGGACATATCTCTCACAAGTTGTATTCTAAGCCCCAGAGCCAGCAAAGCAGCTGAGAAGGGAGGGAGAGAGCCTGGGATCGAGGTGGCCATGATGCCAAGACAAGGAGCTGTGCCAGGAGAAGCCTGTGGTACCTGCAGCCCCCAGTCAATCTCCTCCACGACCAGTTGGTAGCTGGGGCATGAAGCCTGCCCGGTCAGCACCACCTCATAGGTGGGGCCTCCCTTCACACGGCACAGCGCCGTGGCACGGGCGATGATGTTGGCGTAGCCAAAGAAGGTAAAGGTGACCTGCTCTTTCTGTCCTGGCTGCAGCACACCCCACAGTGGCAGGACACCAAAAACCTGGAGGGAGGGGAGGAGAGATCGACATGTTGAGAGTGGAAATGGATGCAGAAGAGCAGCTGTGTCTTGAAATAGAGTCATAGCTGCAGGGGCCTATTCCCCAAACACAGCCAGAATCATCCTAATCTCATCCTGTGTCCATGCCACTGACTAGTGGAGGGACCATGTGGGAAAATCTTCTCCCATAATCACTTCTCCATGAGTATACCCTACATTAAAGTCAACTGGAATGTCTCCTGGCAGCAGAAAATTCTCTCTACTGCAGAAGTTGTCTTTGGAAACACTTCTCACTGCCTCCAGAAAAACAGCAGACATGGAGGTGGGAGCCCTTGGAGAGGGGGAAGGCTCATCTGACTTCTGAGGCCTTTCTCCCTCTCTGACTTATATGCGGCTCTCTCAAGCTGTTCTCTCAAGCCAAAGCTCCTACAAAAATGTCCTGTCAACCACCCGATGAGGTAAATGGGAGCAGTGCCCTCCACAGGTGCTGCATAGGGAGCATCCTGGGGCAGCCCTACAAAACATCCCACATGGCCTCTCCAGTGACCACTAGCTTCAGCAGAGCTTTGTGATGGACTTGGAGGGATGTGAGGCCCCTCTGTGAGCAATGCTGAGGGCCACCAGTGGCAGTGGGGCTACAGAACTGCTTCCCACATTGGAAACATGGACATGAGACAAATTCCTAATTACCTCCAGCATTCCCACGTTGGGGTGCTCCATCTCTGAGAATTGACTCAATCCCCTCATCCTCACCAGGCTCTGAGACTCCCCAGGAGTGGATGACAGCACCTGGAAAACAAGCACCACGGGCTGCAGTGAGCTGGCTGATCTGAGCAAGATCACTCTGCTGCAGGCTCCACCACCTCACCACACCAGGAGCAGCTGAAAAGGGACCTGGGCACAAATCAAGTGTGAAAATGTCCAGGCCATCAGTCAAGTGTGGGTCCAAGCCCACCCACAGATGAGACCTGGGCTCCATCTGCACTTCCTACATCCAACTTGCATGAGGGAACTGGGTGCCCCCAGCACTCAGGCAGGGAGGGTTGCAACTGCATCATCTCTGAAAGTCCCTTCTCAGCCAAACCATTCTAGGATTCCAGGATGGCCACTTGAATTTCCCTGATTTACTTGTGTACACATGGCGATAACCAGGAAATGAAGATGATTTTGTGCTTCTATTTGAAAACATTCAGCCACATTGTTCATTGCACCTACAGGGCTTTGTTTCTCGTGATTCAGAAAAACTGTGCAGTGTAGAAACAACTGGTATTTGTGTGTGAGCAGGTACAACCCTTCTCCTTAAACTTAATGCCAGTACTGGGTTTTTGAGAAACTCTTCTGCTTCCTTACATCTTTTTTTTATTGCCACCTGAGCAGCCTCTGTTCCCCCTGATGCAGAACAAGGGGCCACTTCTCACTGCAAAGTACTAATGTTCACCAGGCAAGCTGGCAGATCAAAGGCCTTTTCCTTGTTTGGAGGAAGAGACAGTGACTTTGCAAACTCTTGCTTTATAAAAGACAGCTCTGCAGCTGTCACTGCAATAGCAGCTTTCGGGTGAAGGCAGAGATGTGAGCGCTCTGGCTGGGTTGGGAAGGGGGTCCGTGGAGATCAGGACTCTTCATGGATTGACACACATGGGAAGCTGGAAGCCTTCTCATCATGATGCAGATAAAGACCTCATGTTACATTGTAAAGAAAATAAGCCAAAAAATCCCAAACTCAGCATAGGTCTGTAGGGTCTGAGTGAGCTTCTGTGAGCAAAACGTTCCTGTTTCTACCTCCCCAGACTCCCCATGTCCAGCTGCCACTTTCAGGGCACAGGACAGAAGGGCAGCAAAAAGGGAGGTTGGCACGAGTATGACTTTTTGGTGGCCAGTTGAGGAGGCAAAGCAAGTGGTAGGTGCACGTGAAAATCCACCTCAGTTTCGGTTGGCACAAGTATGACTTTTTGGTGGCCAGTTGAGGAGGCAAAGCAAGGGTAGGTGCACAAGAAAATCCACCTCAGTTTTCAGGGAATCCTCTGCATCTGATGGCTCCTGCTCAGAGTCCTCTTGAGCAGAATCCTCCTGGGCAGGATCTTCCTGGGCAGGATCTTCCCGGGCAGGATCCTCCTCATAAGAAACTTCCTGGGCAGAATACATCTGATGGCTCCTGCTCAGAGTCCTCTTGAGCAGAATCCTCTCGGTCAGAGTTCTCCTGGGCAGAATCCTGCATTGTTTCTGGGGTTTCGGTTGGCCCATCCACACTTACAGTCTTGGAGTATCTTCGTGGAAACACTGCCTTCTTCTTTGATGACTGGGGTTTGAATTTAGGTGGTGAAGGGATGAACCTGGAAAATAACATAACTATGATGGTTATGTTGGATGTACCTGGAAAATAACATAACTATGATGGTGGACCTGCAGTAGGAGAGAGAGGTGCCTGCAAGAGCAGCTCCTCATTCCCATGCGGCCCCTGGCTGGGTGCTGGTGTGGTGAGCTCAGTAACAGCCACTCCAAAACCAGGCTGGAGCAGGTCCATGCTCGGAGCAGCACAGGGATGATGCTCTTACTTTATGGTGTTCACCGGGCTATCCGTCAGGAATGACCAGTGGTATTCCACGGGCAGTGGGCTGCAGTTGGTCATCTCCATGTACAGCACTTGTTCAGTGTCGTTTATGATGCAGCCAAAGTCCACGGCCTTGGCCTGGAGACGGAGATTCGGGAAGCAGACTTCTCCCCGAACAGTGATCTTCTCCTTACGAGGATGCTCCATGAAGCGCACCCTGAGAACCCTCTTTGCCACCCAGCTGTTCAGATTCTTCTTATAAGCTGGGTTAAACTGGATGTAGAGATGAAGTTCCTCCCCTGCATCCAGTGTTATAGGCTGCAAGGACATGAACAGTAATTAATCACCTGTGGATGATGTCCCAAGGTCTTGACAGCAGGAAACAGTAAAGGCTCAGTGTGACCCCAGCACGGGCTTCTCAGTTCTTGGTTCATTGCTCTACAGCAGGGATCTGACTGCAGGCACCACAGTCCAGCCCAGCATTCCCGCAGGCTCCCGTTCCTGTGCTCAGCAGCAATACAAGGGGGTGGCTGCTGGAGAGCTGGCACGCTTTCCAGGAGACACCTTTGCTGCATGGCTTGCCTCGATCTGCTTTCCTGCTCCCCTCTCCTCATGTTTTACAGCCAGCATGGATGTTACCAATTCAGGTAAGATTTTGATTCCTTCAGCAGCTCTGCTGATTCAGCTCAGGCCAATCCACTGCTGACACCACAGAATAAACTTCTCACCTCAAGGACCTCCCAGCAGAAGTGCACCACCACATCACTCCTCCTCAGACCCCACTGAACAAGCCCACAGAGGCTCACCTTGGAATGTGCAGGGAAGGGCTGCCGGTCCACATTGCAGATCAGGAATGGCTGCTTCAAGTCCAGCACAATTCTGAATGGCAGGGAGCTGGTGTTTTTTAAAGTCAAAGGCTTGTACTGCCGCACCAGGACATCACTGGGTTTCTACAGAAACAGGAGACAAGGGAAAACAACCTCAAGTGCCATAGATCTCCTTCCCCTTCCAATGCATTTCACATTTTCCAACCCCAGAAATGCATCTATTTCTATTTACTTCCAGCCAATTTAAGAGTTACACCTTTAAATGCCAGGATGCAATCTGGAGACTTACCTTTTCCACATGGAAAGTGATTGCTCTGGAAGACATTTGCAGAGCAGGGCAAATGAAGTTGCAGATGACATCCACTTGCATTATCTGTTTCTTTGCTATATCTTTCCCCACCACAGCGTGACACAGCAGCCGCTCCTTCACCTCCTGCACACAAGATTCACTTGTCTCCCAGTGTGTGCTGGCAGGCCCAACACCCCACACTGGCTTGCTACCCACCCATGGGCCCTATTCCTGTCACTTATTATTAGGGACTGTAATTAGTCTCTGCTCTCCTCAATAGCTCTGTTTTCTTTCTGTGCTCCCACCTATTTATTCTAAATATCTGTGCCCAGGGGCCCTGCAGCCAGGGAATGCATACCAGACTTAGCTGGCAGCTTCTCTGCAGAGTTCCATTTCCCCTGGAAAGGAAGGTCCAGGTAGGAGAACGCTCCCAGACTCTGCTAAAATCTCCCCCTCTCCAGGGGTTCTGCAAAACGTGGCTGTCCCTGGGACACCAGGGTTGGCTGAGAGACTGGGGCAGCAGTAATAGAAAAGTTGACCAAAGTCAATTTGTCAATTCTGATGATCCCTGGGAACAGTTTCCTGCCTGGATGGACATCACAATGATCATCAGAGCTGGCACACTGTGTTTTCCCCCTCCAGGACTCAGAGCTAGACCAGCCCTGTGCCCATGTTTGTCTTCAGAGGAAAAGCAATGCTGCTCCCAGACACTCCTGCCATTCACAGGGCTTTTGTTTTACTCCCTGCTTCCCCCAGAAAAACCACTTGACAGTAGTTTAATTTGCTTCCTTCCTGGGCTTCTAGAATGCTGCTCCCAGACACTCTTGCCATTCACAGGGCTTTTGTTTTACTCCCTGCTTCTCTCAGAAAAACCACTTGACAGTATTTAATTTGCTTCCTGCCTGGGCTTCTAATCTAAGTGCAACTTCTTTGCTCTGCTCTTCCTTTCTGCCTCAGCACATGACACAGGTAAGCCCTGTCTGCCTGAAGGAGCAGTACTTCCTTCAGCCTGCATTTTGGGATCAGCAAGTTGGGTTTACGGTAGCTAGGGAAACACAAAAGAGCCTTAGCAACTGATGGTGGCCAGCAAGGAAAGCAACTGGCAACAATGGCCTTAAAACAGTTTCTTGAAGTCACTTGCTCCTTGTCCCAGGCAATGTCAAGGAGCTGCAGAAGAAGCCGCAGTGGAGGGGATGGGATGGGGAAGGCTCAGCCCTTGGCAGGGGCCTCACCTGGGCAGTGCTGGAGCAGCCTTCCAGCACCATGTCCACACTCTGGCCCGGCCTCAGGTCCGCCTGCGGCGGCCGCATCTTAAACACGGGGCTGCCAGGTCTGGGCACCGGGGAAGCACCTTTGCTTTTGGTGCCACCGAGGGCACGGGCACGAGTACGGTGCCCGAACATGTGGAAACCTTCGGTGCTCCAGTACAGCCGATGCACGCGTCGTCCTCTGTTTGTTATTTTGAAGTGGAAGTAGCAGGGAGTAAAGCTAGAAGAGAAGCAGAGATGGACAATGTCATGGGAGCTGTTATTGCCCTGCCATCACTCAGCTTCAGCTTCACCCTGCTGCCATTCCCTGACTGCACACTCTGCAATAAAACCTCTACCCAAAAGGCTGCCCAGGCTCAAAGCTTCAGCCCTGCCAGGTCTTCCAGCTTTTCCATTTCTGTGGCTTTCCAGGATATCTAGCAACTCTCGGATGACATATTTCTAAAGGAATTCCTGTGGCTTCAGGGAAACAGAGCTGGGACCTTGAGTATGGAAGATCTAGCCTGAAGGACTATGGAAAAATTGTTCCTTGCTGAACGCACAGGAGATGTGGAAGTTTCTAGAGCCTCCTACCTGAACTGGGACTTCAAGTCGAGCTTCGGCATGAGAGGTTTGTCCGTGACAATTGTGGTGCCAGTGCCCACAGCTTGGAGAGAGATGATGGTCATATAGGTGTTGTCAATGAACACCTTCACCTCCTCCTGGAATTTTACTGTGTCATTCAGGTTTGCTATGACAGCCACGGACATCTCACGTTTAGGGGGGACCACTCCTTTACTGGGCTCAATCCTCCAGCAGGAGCATTTCCCAGCCTGTAAGACAAGCCAAACACAAACTTAGATGGAAGCCATGGACCCCACTCTGCTGTGAGGTGCAGGAAAGAGGAAGGCTAAAGAGGTGAGTATAAAAACCATAAATGTTTAATTTCCCTAAATGTAAGCTATGGTGTCCAGCACAGCAACTCCCCAAAAGCTTATACAACCTGTATTTTACCTTCCTTTAACACACTCAGGTCATTAGCCCCGTTTTGCTCAACCCAAGGGACGCTCCTCCTCAGGAGAAGGCAATTCCCCCTGCCAGCTCTCTCTGGAGTGCTTGCCAAGGGAAGCTGTTTACTCTCTGCTGGCTTCCCTACAGCAGAGCTGGGTCTGCACAAAGGCTCACGGCTGGAGGAAGGCAGGACTGCTCAAATCCCAGCCCAGCAGCCACACAGCTGGAGGGCACTGCTGAGAGCCTGAAGAATAACTGCAAACCAGCTGAGCAAAATCCCAAAGTCTCAACCAGCCTCCATGATGTAAAACCTTTAGTGATGTCTGACTTGAGGGAAAGGCATTGACAGCTGCCAGAATTACCTTCAGTCAGAAGGAGCAGCATCCAGAAATGCACATCCCTTTGGGACATACATGACTGTGCAAAGAAGAGCCAGAAACTATTTACCATGGCTGGTACCTCAAGAGGAAGGAACAAAAGTCCTGCATGATGACAGATCTTTTATTCCTCTGGGAGAAAGGAGGCCCAGGGGGCTGCAGCCTGGCTGATGCTGCCCAAGGCTCCCTGGAAGAAGAAGCTGGAGGGAGCAGCTGTGCCTCAGCAGCTGGCTGTGCTTCTAGGTGACAGTGGGGCAGCAGCAGCAGAGGCAGGGCAGAGCCCTTTGGAGATGGGCAGAATAGCACCTGGAGGATGCCTGAGCCAGCTTTAGTTAGTGCGTGACAATGGGATAGATCCTCACTGAGGAAAAGGCTTATAAAAACACACAAACCCTTCATCTACAGTATTCTTAAAAGGGGCAAGAACAGCCCTGCTCAGCAGCGTTACAGTCAATGTGGCACACAGGAAGGAGAACAAAAGCAGACAGCAACTTTGTCCTCAGTGTTACTGCTACACACACACCCCACACATCCTGCAGCACTGCTGGCTTTGCTGGGGTGCTCATGTCACAAACCAGACTGTGGAGGGATGAAGAGCAGCCGTGCCTGGCAGACTGGGCCTGTATTTTGTAGTCACTCTTGCTGTTATATGCCTTTTTTAGGAGCTCTTTTAGAACCTTCTTTAGAATCTTCAGAGTGCTCTTTTAGGAGGCTTTAGTTCAGGAATTGCTTGCCTTATCCATTTCCAAACTTGGTGGAAAAAACAAGCAAAGTCTGTGCTCCAGGTGCAAGTTGTGTGGACATACATCTAGTTTTGGCTGGGCTTTTGTTGAGGAGATATGATGGCTATTTCTCAGCTCTGAGGGACCTGGCTTTCAGAGAAGCCTCAGTCCAGCTCTGCACAAAACATTCCTTCAGTGTTTGCTTTGGCAGGATTCAGGGATGTCCCTGTGTGATGCTGAACAGTTGTAATGAAGCAGCACTTGTGTTCATCTGAAAACACGGCAGAGTAGGAGACACAGAGACTGGTCTGGCTTTCAGACTGGGGTTGTTATCCCATCTCCCAGATTTGTAACTCTATGCTGGGTCAGGCACTGAGATTACCACCTATGAGGCTTCCACTTTTTCCTAGGCATAAGCTGCTGCTTGTGCCACCAATCCCTTCTGTCCTTGCCCACAGCCATATAGCACAAGTTCCTGGAAGAATCCCGTGCAGTTTACACCCTACTGGGATGAGCTGCTCAAGGCACACATCTCCCCTTGCTCTCACCAGTGGGGATCCTGCTCTCCCAAACACGGCAATCTCAGCAGTGATGTTGCACTCTCCCAGCAACTGGGGCTCAAATGCAATTGGGATCTGCACCGAGCTGTGAGCCTCGATAATCCCAGACGGCGCAGAGCTGGAGTACCACACAGCAGCCTCCTCCCTGTGTTCCTGGAAGGGACAGAATCAAAAGCAACTTCAGAACTGAGAAAACTTTAAACTCCTTAACGTCTACCAAAACAGCAACTCCCACACACTTTAAAAATTGTCAGGAGAAAGCAAAAAGGCAAAATCAAGATGCAAGGTGTAGGTGCTGAGCATCCCCAGGGGGTCCAAAAGTTGCTGCATCCACAGACACCCACTTTGGTGCTGACAGCCTCCTTGCATCAGATTTTCACTGCCCTCTAAGCTCTCCCACTTGAAAACAAGTCAAGGACTAGAATCTAAACATCTTCCTCAAGATGTTAAACTGCTTCCTGAAGGTTGTATTTAGGTTCCTGCTCTCAGAAAACCTTTAGCTTTGAAGAGAAATAAGCAAGGTCTTATCCAAACCCTCTTATTCCCCTAATAACCCCCTCAGGAACATTTGAGGGGAGGAGATGGAGGCAAGGCCAAACCTGAGGGAGAACACAGTAGCAGCCAGGAAAGTCGCTGTCATTCACAAGGGTCAGCTTCTCATCATAGCGGGTCTTTAAAAAGCAGTAGTACAAGTCCAGCACAGGGTTGAGCACTCGCAGTGGAGGAACGATGCATCTGGGCAAAGAAATGACCCCAAGGGAATCAGAGATACTGAGAGCATGGAGAACTTTTTCCTCCAAGAGCATGCAATGGAGCCTAAGATATTTGTCAAATCTAATATATTGAGTAGTAGAGTAGTCCTATACAGTAGTCCAGAGCTGTCTTGGCAGTTTTGCCTCTTCTTTGCCCCAGGACACTTGCAAGGACTCCTGTAACAGTCCCAGTGCTCCATGAGCTCTGGGGGAGCCTTTCCAATGAGGACCAGTGCCCACCCACGCTCAAGGAACACAAGACTCCAGTGTATCAGTGGCAATTACTCCCTTTTCTTCTACAGCACTGTTGTCCTGCCTGAAAACTGAATCATCTCTTCCAGCAGTGGAGGGCACAAGGCCTGCAGTGCAGGGGATCTTCCAGTTCCTACAGCTCCCTCAATTCTTTACATTGTCCCCATTTGCACTTGCTTGACAAAATGGCAGCCCAGGCACTGCCTGGATGGCTCTGCCTGGGACAGAGAACAGCACCAGTACATTGTCCCCATTTGCACTTGCTTGACAAAATGGCAGCCCAGGCACCACAGAACTGCATCCCTCTTGGCATTCCACTGACACCCTCAGCAGCACAGCAGATGGAATTCTGCTGCAGCAAGAACGACTTTTGGTCTCAACTCTGAGAACATTACTCAAAAGAGCAAGAGGGAAGCAGCGAAATCTGAGCTGACCTGCCACATCAAGGACTACAGTCCTCTTTGTAAGATCTTTTGCTCTCCCCACTCCTGCCTGGAGCCTCTTCCCCACTGCACAGGCACTGCTGAAGTGAACCAGGCCCCAGCCCTCAGCAGGCTGCTCACTGTGTTCCCAACCACTGCTGCAGGGGGGTCACAAGCCAGCACAAGTTCACCACTTGCAGGAAGAAGGACAGGCAACCCTTTGGAAATTTGTTCCAGCTCAAGCACCAAACCCCAGGCCAACAATTAATGTTATTCCTGCTCCCTTTAGAAAAAGGCCTAGGGCCATGCCTGGCTGCCAGCAGCGGGGCGTCTCACTATGGGCTGCTTTCCTAGCACTGTTCTCATGTCTAGATGGGCACATCCAGCTCATTAAGCAACATTTCTCCTTGGAGCTGCAGCCAGGCAGTGTGCTGGATGCACGAGCAAAGACAAGCAGGTGCAGGAAAGGTGTTGGTACCTGGCTGTGAGGGGCAGTGCCAACACCTTCTCGCCGACATCATCCACATCCAGCACCAGCCACAGCTTGTACTCTCCAACGGTGTTGGAACACAGGGTGACCTGGTAGAAGAGAAAAGAAGTGCAGCAAGTATTTTCTCACTCCCAAAATCTCATCACCCATGTGTGTTGGCCTCCAATTCTTGTTCCATGGTAGACAAAGGGAGAATTTTGCTTTCCTATAAGTAGAGCAACAGACTTTGAGAGTAAAAAAAGCCCTCTGGCAATATCAGATTTGCTAAGAGGACTAATTTTTTCACCTGACTACAATGACATAAATGCAGAAGAAGTCTGTTGTCTTGAATGGAACAAGTCCAGCTTTACAGCAGGAAGCTGAGGGCAAAGTGCAGCCCAGCAGATGCTGGGCACTTTGTGGCTGCAGAGTATTTTCTGTCCCCACTGAAGATCCCTGCACTGAATACAACTCATCTGCTGCCCAGGAGATGAGAAACAAGACCAGGAAGAAAAGAAAACTACTTTCTACAATAATAGCTCTCTCTTTAATAGCAACCTTCTGTTTTCCCTTCCTCTGCCCACTTCCAATCAAATAAATCCTCTCAAAAACACAAGAATGTCTTCAGGACTTAACCTATGGTATGTGATCTCAGCTTGTGATTTTGGAAACAAAACAGTGCTCCTTGAGGAACATCTCGGGTAACCCAGCTAGCAGAGGCCTCACAGCAGTGCAGACCTCTCACTCCCACGATGCTCAAAGCTGGCACCAGAGCTAAAGCCCTCCCACACTCAGTGAAGCTTCAGCCCCACGGGCTGGACTCTTCCCATACCTTGATATCTTGGGATCCCAGGGCACGGACGGTCCCCCTGCAGGGACTTATGTCAAACTCCCTTGGCCTCCTAAGACCTCGAACTTCCTTCCTCCAAGACTGGCTACTGCATCTGAGTATCTGAGTAGAGCTGTCAACACTGGGCTCTCCCAAGCCATCCCCAGGAATGTAGAGGTGGAAGTCTATGGGTGTCAGGGAGGTGTTAAACAGGCAACAGTTCAAGGTGCGAGGAAAACCTAAGAAAATGACACAAATATCCATTTAGGCATCAATATCTCATGATTCCTGGTGTGAATATCCTGGTAGGATAAAATCCTGTGCTTGGATTTTACTTCTTTGTTATCTGAACTACAGCTCATTGCAGTGGATCTATGGCTTGGCTGGCCAGCTGTGTGTGGAGGAGACATCTCCTAGCCTGCTTACCAAGAGTCATTTAAACCCAGATGGGGAGAAAAACCCAGCTGCAGGCACAGCCCAGGGCTTCTCTGTGCCTATCAACAGTGACTCCAGCAGGGAGGCAAAAGAGGCACAAAAAGGATGTCACAATCTCAAATGCCACTGGGGTAAGCACATGTAGACATCATTCAGCAGAACAGTTAAAAGAAACAAAAATAAAACAGCTGCCTCCAGCTGAAGCAACCCTAGGAATGAAATCAGATTAAGCAGGATGAATCTGCTCTTACAGAACCATATTCCTGCCTGGTGCCTTTCTTTATTGTGCCACTTACTAAAAGGAAACAAGAAGTGGCCAAACAGTGATGCTGACTTGTTATTACTTTGCTCCTGTTTGATCTCATGATGGCAAAGGGGTACCTGAGGCACCAACAGCCCTGGAATTTACATCCTGAAGAGGCTGTGGTGGAGGAACATGAGTGATGAGTGCTCTTAGGTTCAAGTGCTCAATTTCAGCACCACACCAGCCTCTGGCACTGTGGTGCAAGCCCAGGGCACACTCACCAAAGGAGATGTCACCGAAGTCGAGGGCGGACACATCGAAATGGAAAGTCGGTCCGATCACGTAGCCCCTGCGAGGACAAAGGCAGGGAGGGATTCCCTTTGTTAAAGGGAATCACAAAGGGTTCGGGGGTCCTTAGGGAGAGGGTGGATACAAGCTGCTGCCAGAGCCACCCTGGGTTTCAAATCAACTCAGCACCCTGTGCTCAGCACAGAACCCATGTGGACAGGAGGCAGCCAAAGCAAAATGGTCAGCAGCTAGACAGATTATCTGAGACAGGCCTTTGAGCTGAAGTCTTTTACTTCCCCTATCATCACTTTTTTCCCACCTCTACCCTTTGCTGAGTGAGGATTTTATCCTTTGCCATGGCACCAGCCCAGGGGATGGTGCCCAAGTCCTTGGGACAGTTCCTGCTGCACAGTTCCCTGACTCCCACATCAGCCCTTTCCTGGCTGTGCAAAGGAGGTCCCAGAGCACTCTGTGCACACGAGTTTGGAGCACAGCTTGTCCCCACAGCATGGCTGTGAGAGGTGAGGCTGCTGCTGCCCATCTTGGATGGATTGTTAACAGAAGATTTTAAAAACACTGCTGCTGGTGCAGAATCACCCAGGCTGGCCCATCTCCAAAGCCCTGGAGGCTTTGCTGGGTGTTCAGGTGGGAAATGCCAGAGCAGCTACTGCCCAAAGCTGATCCATCCCACTGCCTGCCATGGCCCAAGGCAGAGGGAGATCCCTGCTGGTGGTGTCACTCCAACTCCTGGATAGCACACAGGGCAGAAGGCACCCCCACACTAAAGGGATGCCAGAGCCAAGATTAAGACCTCAGGCAACACCTTTTTTCGCTACTCCACCACAAAATGAGGTAGATGGGAGATGATTACCCAGAGACAGCTACAGATGTGCCCAACAAGCTCCCAAAGCCCTCCTCACCTGACAGTCAAGGTCACAGGCTCAGGGGATTCAGTCACATGGAAGGAGAATTCTTCCTCAAACTCCCCCAGGATGGTGGGACAGAAGGAGACCTGGATGGCCTGGAGTGAGGAGGGTGCCACGATGCCCTCCTGGGGCAGGAAGGTGAAGCAGGAGCCCATGGCTGAGCTTGGAGGGATGAGTTTGAAGGGAGCCTTAATAGGCCCATTGTTGAACAGGACCACCTGCAGCAGCAGAAAAGCAAAGTGGAAATACATGAGGAATCCTCCTTTCTTACAGAAGTCTGAGTCACTTTCAAATTAAACTATTAACACCTGTAAAAGACAGAAGATGCCCTGTGCTGCTGCATGACAGAAGCAAAAAAATACAACTTTGAAGTACAACTTTGTATAGCTTTGGGTTTTTCATGCAAAGCACTGATAACTTCACATAACCAGAGTCCCTCTGGGGTTTTCCCACTGGCAGAGACGGTCCACTTTGACCTGCAGCACAGAGGGGCTGCTCAGCATCACCGAGTTCATTCACAGCTGGCCCTAAGAGCAGCACTGGGCATCACAGCATTACCAGTGACATCACCACAGTGATTTCAAATGTGTCCAACCCCACCATGGGCAGGCCATCTTCAGCTTCCATTGCAGCCCAACCTGTTTACAGCAGGACTGGGAGAAACCAGGAGCAAAGATGTAGAAAGCTCCTTTGCTTCCTTCCCAGAAACACTTTGCCCTTTCTAGAGCCAGAGGTACATCATGGCTGAAGTGTGCTGAGGGACTGGTCAGCAAGGGAAAGCACTGCCAAGTGCTTTGACCAGTGCTGACCCAGGAGGGTGGGTGGCTTTCCTCTGACTCCCACGAATATGCAGCATGCAGGAGTGATATGACTGAAAACTGCAATGGGCTTGAACTCAAGTGCAGCCAGTTTGTTCCAGCTGCCTTTGGACAGCCTGAGCACAAAGGTGCCTTGTGTCTGGGACTGGAACAAAAGCCTCTGAACATGCAGCTTTCTGACCCAGTGTTGGTTTCATGTGTCAAGCGGTTTTGCAGGAAGCCTCCCAGCTGATCTCCAAAGAAGACTGCCCAAAAGCAGGGACTGGGGTTTCACAAACAACAGACACACCTTTCAGACCCCATCCAAAAGATCAAGATTCCAAGAAATCCCACAAATTGGACAACTACCCAAGTTGCCAGCAATTCCACAGGTCCACAAGGCTCACTGCTACCCTAGGAGCCACCAGGATCCCAGCCCTGCTGCTCACCTCATATGTGTGGGTTAATCTGACAAAAACCTCCCCGATGTCCAGTTCCTCAAAGTGAAAATGGAGCCGGGGCCCGAGGCCTTCCCCTGTGAGGAGCAGGGGCATCCTCTTCTCACGGCCTGGGGAGAGATTTCTAGTTCAGTACAGTAATTCCTTCTGCTATCCTGCATTTTCCAGGCTGCCTTAGTGCTAGTCCCTGACTCTGAGCTGCATCATGTCCCAGGAGAAGATATGGACCCTTCTCTTCCCTCAGGAGATGCAGTACATCCATAGAGACCACCCTTTCTTCTACGCCTTTGTCGAGAGTGGAACTTTAGGAAATGCCAGAAATTTTGTTCTTCCTCCTTCTGGCTGCAACCTCTGAGTGTTTTTCCCAAGGGAGGAGGAGCACACTAAATACAGGCAGCATTCAGAACAGCTGAGAGGGAAAAAATCAAAAGAGAGGAGATCCCCTGGAAGCTGCAGGGACAGTGGGCATGTGCCAGCACTGACCTGCTGACCATGGAACCCTTCCCAGCAATGACACAGGAGCCCAGTGATCTGGGGGAGTATTTGCACCTCGCCTTCACCGCGCTGAGAGAGGCAGGGGAAGGAGCTGTACCTGAGATGTCGCAGTAAACCGTTCGCTTATAGACCCGGGCTTTCTGGGGCTTGAAGAACACGCTGATTTCAGCCGAGCAATTCGGCCTGATCTCACCCTCCTAAAGCAGAAGGAGACAGCAAGACATTTCTCTTCAGACATCACATTTCTGGTTTACATCCACAGTCCTGTAAGCCGTTATTTAGAGCATCAGTGACAAGCAAGGAGTGAGTAACACTCATCGATAACACTGACAACAGTTTGCAAGCTTCAGTCAGGCTCTTGCTGCCTGACAGGAGCCCACAGGGCAGAAACGCTTTTTGCCACCAGCTCTCTGACCTCACCAGAATCCCGATGACTTCTCTCTTGGCACACAAAGCCAGCTGAGGCAGGGATCAGTCAAGTGACCTTACTCAGGGATGAGGAGGAAGAGGAGGAAGACAAGCAGAAAGGGAGGTTCTCAGCCATCATTTACCTTTGGCTCAAGGGAGAAAACATCATCGCAGAACAGCATGGCATCTTCTCTGATCTTTGCCACCTCACTCTGGAAGCTGTGGGTCAGAAGATCAAGGCGTTCTTGGCAAATGACGCCCGCTCTGGACTTCTTCAGCAAATCATACACCTTCTTCTTTTGCTCCTGAAATATCCTGGGATACTGCCTGCAGGCATAGGAAAGACAAACCCAGCAGGTTGTTTAATAAGCCACGTCTTTGCAGAGAGAAGTGGAAGTGCAGGAGCTGCAACAAAGGGCTGACCCTGAGCCACAGGGTCCCAAATGGATCAGAGGGTCACGTGTTCACTCCACACTTGCAAGCTCAGGTGAGGTTTTTAAAGCCAGCAGCCCTCAAGAGAACTGTGCCACCTCACTCTGGAAGCTGTGGGTCAGAAGAGCAAGGCGTTCTCAGCAAGTGATGTTCACTTACCCTAAGACATTCAACAGTACCAATACCTCCTGAAGCCATACATTAGTTTTACCCTTGGGCAAGGTCGAAGTGCAGGAGCTGCAACAAAGGGCTGACCCTGAGCCACAGGGTCCCAAATGGATCAGAGGGTCACGTGTTCACTCCACACTTGCAAGCTCATGTGAGGTTTTTAAAGCCAGCAGCCCTCAAGAGAACTGTCTGGCTCAAAGCCTCTGCCACAGCTGAGGGAGAATCCACCAGCCACATCAGGCAGCTTTTCCTGACACACAACTGTTTGGGAAGGCAGGTAGAGATGGGATGGTTTACTTATCCTAAGCCATTCAACAGCACCAGTATCTCCTGAAGCGATACGTTAGTTTTACCCTTGGGCAAGGTATGTCACTGAAATGGATCTTTCAAACCTACATCATCTCCAGCTGATCCTCCTCTCCCTGAGTACCAACAGCCTTCCACTGGAAGCGGGCTGTGATATTGCTCTGGTTGTGGATGAGCACGGTTGCACGGCTTGACATGGTGATGTACGTCTTCTCAAGGCTCACAGTATTCTTGTCCAGCCTGATGGGGACATCCACAGCTCTTCCATGAAGGCTTGTGTGGGTCTCTTCACCTGGAACAAAGCAGAGGGGAGTCTTTGTTCAGCTCGCTGGCTGATGGAAGCACAAGGAACAGAGCAAACCACAGGTAACAGAAGAAAGTGTCACAGCTTTTAGCTGAATGAGCAGTTCCATGGATCAGTACATGTATCACAAGCTGAGAGCTGCATGTGCACAGCATGATGATATCCTGGACAACCTGCCAGCATTTCATCCTCTAGAACAGACCCCTAGCAAAGGCTCCCTCATTTCCAGAGCTTTCAAACCTTCATTATTCCCAGCCAGCTCCTGGGATTCATCTGGGCTCAGACTTCAAGCTCACCATTCCTGTTGCAGATGAGTTTTTCCCAGGTGAGATGCAAACAACAAATATCACACCTGCTCTCTAGAAATGGCATTTACATTGAGCTCTACAAGGATCAAGATGACAGACTACATGACTACAAACTAGATGACTAGAAAATGAACACCATGAAAACTATCATCATCTCCCTCTTTAAACCCACGGCCACGCCAGCCTTTCTGCTTAGTAAAGGCTCTGCTCTGAGGGATGCACAGAGTGCCCCGTGCAGTGCCCAGCACTTACCTGTGTCGTAGCGCACAACAAGGGACCCGGAATGGTCACCAGTCTGCAGTGGCTGAAATTCCACTGCCACATTCATGGCGTAACTGACATCCAGAGTTCCCATGGCCGGAACGACAGAGAAAGGGCTGCAACAGAGATAGTAGGACTCTTGGTGGAGATTTGGGGATGTTATCCCTTTTGCAGTCCAGTTCACTTCTGCTCACTTGTGCAAGCAAAGAGCAAACCAACCACAGTCAGCAGAAGACAGAACAGACAGGGTCAGAAACAGCTTCTGACTCTAGTGTGAGGAGATCCAGTCCTCACAAGATCCTGTGACCTCATCTCCCCCATACTCTCTGCAATGAGGCTCAAGGGTCATTTGCATCTGGCTTACTTTCATCAGGCTTCAGCTCTCCTTACTGACAGAGTTGGGCAAAAGTTATGGCCATGAGGATACCAAGGACCAAGTACTCCTGACATAATTTAGAAACAGAGCTGACAAGTGAGCAAAGCTGGCAATTTTATCACCAAGTCTCTCAAAGCACCATTCACCTGTGCTTTTGGTAAATGCTGTGTGCAAGGAGGCTGCAATCTACGTCAAGTCCCATGGTACAGTTATCTGCTATAGCCAAACGTTCTTTTGTCTACTGGTGCCTTAACTGCCATTATTAACTTTTTTGATTTTGGGATTTGATTTTTGATCTCATTAAAAGCTGCTTCCCACACCAAGGAAGACAGAAAAATGATGGCTAATTGAATTGCCTCATATGTCCACTAACACTTAGTGCAGGAAGAAACCCAAATATCCTCTAATCTTAATGTATATTACTTTTAAGTGACGGTGTAACAGCTGATGTCAAACAGCATTAACTATTCTAATAAATTCAGTCTGTTAGGTTCAAGCAGATCCATCTCTGTGCTGAAAAATTCTGTACAGAGTCAGCAGCTCACAAGCTCCATCTTTCCCTCTGTCACTGCACCCAAGCTCTATTTCATCTACTTCAATATGTAATTCCTGAAGTTCAGAAACTCTTTAAATCCCTATCAAGCAGGATCCAACATGCTCTGTAGCACTCAACAGAACTGCTGGCAAGCACATTGCAAAAGGATACCAGACTTTACTGGGAATTTATTTTGGTGGTGACAAAACAAGATCTGGAAATCCCAGAGAAAAACCGTGCGCGGATTTCCACATTCCTGCCTACATATTTGCACAGTCAAAAGCAGCAGCCTACTTACTAGGAGACTACTTAAATAGCTTTGGCAGGCTATGGAGGAAACTCCTCTCAGGCCCTCACATTTCACAGCAGAAAAGTCAGTTTGCCTTTTGACCTCTGTTTTGCCAGGGGAAAAAAAATCAAAGCCACTCAGCTATTCTAATAAATTCAGTCTGTTAGGTTCAAGCAGATCCATCTCTGTGCTGAAAAATTCTGTACAGAGTCAGCAGCTCACAAGCTCCATCTTTCCCTCTGTCACTGCACCCAAGCTCTATTTGATCTACTTCAATATGTAATTCCTGAAGTTCAGAAACTCTTTAAATCCCTATTCAAGCAGGATCCAACATGTAGAACTCAGTAGAACTGCTGGCAAGCACATTGTAAAAGGATACCAGACTTTATTGGGTATTTATTTTGGTGGTGACAAAACAAGATCTGGAAATCCCAGAGAAAAACCGTGCGCGGATTTCCACATTCCTGCCTACATATTTGCACAGTCAAAAGCAGCAGCCTACTTACTAGGAGACTACTTAAATAGCTTTGGCAGGCTATGGAGGAAACTCCTCTCAGGCCCTCACATTTCACAGCAGAAAAGTCAGTTTGCCTTTTGACCTCTGTTTTGCCAGGGGAAAAAAAATCAAAGCCACTCAGCTGCCCCAGGTTAGACAGAAGTCTGTGCTGCATTCCTGACCTCAGCTCCTACACCAAGACCTCTGGGATCAAGTAAACCTCAACTCACCACCAGCCACCTGAACTGGTTTCCTTGCAGATACGGTGTCAAAAATGCATTACCCTCTCCAGTTCAGCCAACAGGAGAAATAGTGATTGTCTTCTGAGACTGACAGGAACAGCACAGGCTGTCCACAGTGCAGCTCACGAGGCATCTGATGCAGGGAGCACTGGAAAGCCACGTGCCTGTGGCCTCCCAGAGAATGGCTCTGTTTGGCTGACAGTGCTGAGTCAGCAGTTCAGAAGCTGCTTGTGCTCAGGAGGGTGCAAGCCAGCTACCAACATGTTCCAGTACGCCCCAGGAAAGCTGGGACACAGAAAGCTCAAAGGCTGCATCCTGCTAAGAACACCGCCCAAATTGGCACAATGAACTCTTCCCTTTCAGTGGTGCAGAGGAGCTCATGGAAATAATCCTGTGGGGAAAAGAAACTGTCTCAGCACAGAGCATTTACCCCCATCTTAAACATGGGCAAAAAGTATCTCCCCGTTCCAGATCCTGTGCAACTCCACTGAAACCAGAACAGGCCCTCAAAACCCAGGCCAGGTGCCCTGAATCCAGCCTTGCAGGTCCACTTTCCCCTGAAGACACCAATCTCTTGGGCCCTCCCGATTCACCTTGTTCTGCCCAGGGGTGAAGAGGACACGGACAGACGTGTAGAGGCCCGGTGGCACCTTGCGGCACACAGCATTGGGGCCCACCAGCTGGAAATAAGGTGAGCTCTCCAAGGTGACCTTCACCAAGTGAGGAACCTGCAGGAGAGACATGGAATGATGGTTTTGCCACTTGTGGAGACAGGTGGACATGCCCTGGTGCCATCCTTAACCACCTTTCTCTGCTCTCCTCTTCCAGCGCAGCGTTAAACCTCCACATCCCTGCGCTTACCTTGTCCCTGTTCCTCAGAACCACCGGCACTTCATAGACCTCACCAGGGGTGTACTTCTGAAACACCACCTCTGGTGGGCAAGGCTGAAATGATCTCTGCTCTGGGTCAGCTGACAAGAACTGCAAGGAGAGGCCAGAGAGAGCAGAGACAGGTTCAGCTGCTACGAGGAAGATTCTGATCTGATCCCCAGTGAAGTACAGACTCTGGGTGAGCACATCTGCCCAACCCACACTGGGCAGGCAAACAGTGGCTCTTCCACCTCTGCCCTGGGCTGATCAAAAGCTCCTGGACCACACTGAGCAGGCTCAAGCCATGCTGCTCTTTTGGCATTCTCCTCAATTATCACATCAAACAGCAAGGCCAGGGAAAGGCTACCTTGTGATGAGAGCTCTCACGCTTGTCTTGAGGCTGGACAATCTGAGGCAGACTCAGCTTCTTAGCTATGGCCAGCCTCTCCTTGGTGCTGAGAGATATCTCCTTCTGGAAGGCAGAGGGAGTCAGCTAAAAGGCAAAAAACCAGCAAGAGTCTCAGAAATGCCCATGTTCATGGAGGCTTTTCTTGTTCACTTACTACTGATGAATAATTTGTGATCACAG